AGCATGACTTCCCAAGGCCGCACAGCTGGTAGGTGGCCCAGCCGGGTTTGAAGGAAGGACAGCAAATTGCCGGCTTACTGGGGGGGCTCCTTGTCCTGGCTTGGGCTGCCTGCACAGGGGTGATGACCACGGCTCTGGCCTCTCCCACGGCCTCCAGGCCTGCTGGCTCTGTCCCTGTCCCTGGTCAGGGATAGGGCCACTCGCCCAAGAGCCCGGCACCCCCGCTGGGCTTGGCCCCTACGAGCTGTGCCCTCTGCCTCACCACAGGGTCCCGCAGGCCCAGGGCCAGGCCTCCCCACCCCCTCCCGCCTCAGCCCTGCCACCCTTCCTCCCGCCGGAACTGGGAGGGCCCTGGGGACTCGAGTCTCTTCACAGGAAGAGAAACCGCAGCCACCACCTCCCTCCTTCCCGTGACCAGCCCGGTGACACAGCCACCTTCCCCGGGGGGGATGCTTAAACCCGGGCCCCGCCCCGTGTTGGGGTCTCTGGCGGGGGCTTGCCCCCCTGCCCTCTCTTCCTTCAGATCAGCCTGATCTCGGGCTCCTTCCGCCCGAGTCGCGGCCCGCGTGCTCGCCCTTCCCCTTCCACGCACGTGCCGGCCAGCGCGAGGGCCTGGGAGCCTGGATCTCCGCCCTGGCTCTGCCACTGCCGGGCTGTGTGAGCTTGGGATGGGGCTCCGCCTCTCTGGCCTCAGTGTCCCCATCTGCACAGCCAGGCCTGGACAATGCCCAGGGTCCCTTCTCCTCTGTAAGGAGGGGACTGGGCCCTGCCTCAGCCCTAGCCAATCTCTCCCGGCGGCCTGGGTGGACTGGGGCAGGGGCAGTGACATGACGGTGCCTCAGACCAGTCAGGCTGGGGCTGGGGGTCGCCCTGGTACCTGCAGGGCTGGTGAGGGAGACAGCAGCCGCCACCGGCCACCCGGGCCCCGCCCTGGGCTGACAAGTGGGGGCAGCTCTGACCCGGCTAGTGACTGCCTGACATGCACCGTGCACCTCCTGGTGCCAGCCCCAAACGCCCCGCTGCATTCTCACAGCAACTGTGACGGGCAGACTCTTGCCACCTGCACTTTACAGAAGAGGAAACTGAGGCTTGGGGAGAGGCCACTGGCTTACGGCCACATAGCCAGGATGTGGCAGAGTGCAGATTCGAACCCAGGCAGGCTGGTGCCTCAGTCACAAGGATCAGGGCTGTCTGCCCCCTCCGGGGACCTCCCCCCACACTCTCCCTGCCACTCTGCGGCCCCCGCCTCAGCCTGACGGGTCATCGCATGTCACTGAGTCCTGGACAAATGGGACTGAGGCCCAGAGAGGGGCTGGCCAGTGTCCGAGAGAGGCCAGCAGCAGAGCTGCGGCGGCCCCAGGCCCCCAGCTCAGAGCCCGTTGTGGAGAGGCGAGGGGGTGGGCGGGGCCGGCAAGGAGCTGGCTGTGGCACCTTGTTGGCACAGAGGGTTGTGGTGGCTGACCAGACTCCGGGCTGAGCTCAGTGCTCCGTTCTCACCAGCCAAGCCCTGGGACCACTGCCCCACTCCCTGGGGGACGGGGGCTCCCCAGGTGGAGGAGAGACATCCAGGGTGACTTGGAATAGTGACATCCTCTCTGAGCCTCAGTTTCCTTGTCCTGGCGCCACACTTCCTTCCTGCCCAGCCCCAGGCCTCCGTGGGCTTCCCCCCTTCCAGGGGTTGCCCCTCCGCAGTCCCGGCTCCCCCTTCCCAGCTGTGCGCCTGGGCCCGTGGCTTCCCCTCCCCGGGCCCGTTCCCTCCTCCGTGGCGTGGCAAGGCATGGCATTCCTTCACAGTGCTGTCGGGAGCTCCGTGCCTGGCACGGCGCAGGTGCTGGCCAGGGTCTGTCCCCTTCCTTCCCCGCAGAAGAGGAGCGGCCTCAGCGGAGGGGCAGAGTCCCCTCCCTCCCTTCTCTTCCTCTTGGCTCTGCCGTTGCCCCAAGCCCGAGGGCCGCTGGGCAGGGGGGTTTTCTGGTTCCGCACTTCAGGGAAACTGTTGGGGTTGTAGCGGACACGGGAAGTCACATGGGCTCCTTGCAGAAGGTCACAGAACACTGTCCCTGGGCGTGGGGGCTCAGCCTGCCTTTCTCGCTGTCTGTGCCCGGGTTCCAGGCAGCGGTGCCTGGGAGAGGCCTGTCCTGGGAGGGTGAGGGAGGGGCTCTCCAATGCCCATCCCCCTCACTGAGGGCCCCGCTGCCCCGGGTGGAGGGGAAACGTCCAGTGCGTGGCTTTGGTCTAGTCACATCCTCCACGAGCCTCGGTCTTCTCGTCTGTGAAACGGGTCTGATGCTGAGGAGTCAGATAATGTGCAGAGGGTTAGGAAGGGAGCCATGCAGCCCTTGGGCCTCCTGAGCAGTGTCCCTGGGGGAAGTCGTGCTGGCACGAAGCCGCTTTTTAGAAGACAGAGAGGAGCCCAGAGATTTGGGCGCTGAAACTGGAGCTCTTCCCTTCCCGGGGAAGTCTCAGAGTTCCTGCCTGCCTTCCGCAAATTAAGGGCTTATGTGTCCAAGAAAGACACAGACCTGCCCTGGAGGTCTTAACTTCTCCCACTGAATTCAAGCAGCTTCAGATGTGAGGAAACTGAGGCACAGTGAGGAAACTCCCTGTTCAGGGTGACACGATTCCCAGCTCCCAGGTGGCCCCGTTGGTCCTGCAGCCCGGGTGGCAGCCCCCACAGCCCGGTGTTCAGTCGTGTGGCGCGGGGTGGGGGTGTTTGCCCTGAGGCCCCCAGACTCAGCCTCTGCCCTCCTGCTGCCCCCCACCAACCAGACTCGGTGAAGTACCTGGAGTGCTCGGCCCTCACCCAGAGGGGCCTGAAAACTGTCTTTGACGAGGCGATCCGGGCCGTCCTGTGCCCGCAGCCCACGCGGCCGCAGAAGCGCCCCTGCAGCATCCTCTAGGGGTAAGAGCCCTGGCCCCCACACTGGGACCCCTCCCCCACACCAGGACCCTGCCCCCACACTGGGACCCCGCCCCCACACTGGGACCCCGCCCCCACACACAGCAGGCTCCGGCTGGGAGGGGCGTCCAGCCCTGGGCAGTGGCCCTCGCTTCGCTGAGAGTGGCCTTTAGGCCAGGACAGAAGAGGGGTGGGTACCGAGGTAGCCTCAGTTTCCCCAGCCTTCTTGTCATTTGCCGGAGGCAGTCCTACTCTCTGGAGCCCGTGTCCCAGCAGGAAGGCCCTGGGAATCAGAAAATGCCCAGTACCCTGAGCCCAGGCCTGGGGAGTCCCTGCGCCCCTCTCTGTCCATTCCAGCCGGGAGACTGAACACCACACCTGTGGGTGGAGGTGGCACAGACTGCGCTCCGGTACCCCTGGGGCAGACGAGGGCAGGCGGGCGTGCGTTGGTGGGTGGAGGTTGGAGGCAGCCAGCAAGGCTTCCTCTGGTTGAGACTAGAAGGACGGAGAGGACTGGATGCGGTGGGGAGAGCAGGAGGGCAGTCCCCGGGGGGAGGGCAGACCTCGACTGAGGCTCCGGGGTGGGAATGAGCTGTGAGCCAGGAAAGCATGAGCTATGGATTCTGCTTGTCCCCAGATTCTCATCCCCTGCCTGTCTCCCTTCCAGGTTGCTCCCCAGCCTCCCACCCAGCTGGTCCTGACCCTCTAGGGCCCATGCAAAGCCTGGTGGTGCCCCCGCCGGCCATGCTGCCCCTTCCCTGTGGCGTTTCTTAGCAGATGGCTGCAGAGCTTGGCTCATCATCTTCTCCGCACCGGAGGTCCCCTGGGGCCGGGAGAGTGTGACTTTGTAGGCGCTGTATCCCCATCTGCTCATGTTCCTGCCTTGCCAGGGGCCAGCGGGGAGCCCCAGGACCCAGTAAGCCACCCCTGCGTTACTGCAGTCAGTGGCAGTTGCTGCATATGGAAGCATCTACCCATTTGCTCCAGTCCCCCCGCCAGTGCCTGACCCCCCTCTGGAAACCTCGGGCCAGATGGTCGCCAGCCACTACTTGTATACCTCCAGGAACAGGAATCTCAGTCCCTCCTGAGGCAGTCTGCTCCAATATTGAGAGGGCCTTGCTTGTCTGAAAGTTCTACTAAGCCAAAATGAGTATCTCAGAAGTTTGCTCCTCTGGTTTCAGTTCTCCTCTCTTGGGACAATATAAAACAAATCAAATTCTCTACGTTGTTGGGATATCTTCCCCGCCAACTAAGAGTCTGGGTTCAGCTGACCCCTGCCATCTCTCAGGACTTTCTGCTCCACCTGCAGGACCCTGAGCTTCATTTACCTGTGAGAGTCTTAAAACTTTCATGCCCTTCCCGCCAGGACTTTTGCTATTGCAAACAGCAAACCCAATTTAACCTGCTTAAGCAGAAAATAAATTTATTGATTACAGTTTGGAAATATCGTGACTTCAGGTGCAGCTTGATCAAGGGGGCTCAAAAGATGTCATCAAGGCTCGTTTTCCTGTACGCTTTGGCTCTGCCTTCTGCTGGCTGGTTCATTCTCAGGCAGGTGACTCTCAGGGCTTCATCCTTCCAAGTGCAAGTTCAGCCAAGCAGAGCAAGCGTCTGTCCTAGGCAAAGTTCTGACTAAGGCTTACTTGATGGACAAGCTTAGGTCCTGGCCCTTCAGCCAATCATATTTGTCAGAACGGTGCCATGTCCTGATTGGCCAGGCCTAGACCACATGCTAGGCTGGGGCAAGTAGAGGCAACCCCAGCAAAACCACACGCATTGAGAGCCTGGCTGGAATTGGGGAATTTGGTATCAGGCAGCCAGAAACCTGCAACCTCCACTATTGGTGGTTGCGGAAAGTATCCAACCCAACAGTATAAGGGAATGATGCTGCGCCCAGCAGGCACTAAGCAAAGGTACGTTTCTTTGAAAGAGAGACGGGGTTATTGTAAGGATTTAGGAAGTTCATATAGAAAGTGTAACGGTGCCTGGCACGATCAGTCCCACTTTGGTGTTTGCTAAGTTACAGGGTAGGTGCTAGACTTCCCACCCCTGTGCACAACCTCTCTTCCCTGTCTTAGCCTTTCATTCATTCATTCATTCAGCACATATTTACTGGCCACCTCCTCTGTGCTAGGCACGGCCCTAGTGCGGCATCCAGGGGTGCACGTGAGCCTCTGCCCTGAGGGGCTGCCACTCTAGAGGGGCTAAGAGATGAAAGAGGCCGTTCCTGGCATCCCAGAAGCCCCCCAAAGCCCAGCCAGTGACGTGCTCTGGGTTCCCATTTTCTGCCTTCCCAGAGCTCCTGGCCAGCCCCACCGCCCCTATAAGTCCTGGAGTTCTGCGGCAGGACCCCCAGGTCACTTGCCCCCTGGGCGCAGCCCCCGTGAAAGGGACTGGGTACATCTGGGAAACCCCTGGCTTTTCTTAGTTTTAGCTCAAATAAGGTCATTATGTTTTTAAAGTTACTTCTCCTCTGAAACAAAAAACCACATCACAACCCACACACTGCGTGGCACAGACATGGGGGGTGGGGCCCACACCCCGATAAGCTCAGCGTTTCAAAGCCCCGAGATGCGCCCTCCGTTTAGCCAGAGTCCGAGGGGGCCTCTCTCCGCTCCCTGCTCTCTACAAGGCTTCGGGGCAGACTCCGGACCCCCCATGCGGCGCTGGAGCCCGGGCCTCCTCTGCCTCCCCCTCTCTTCCTGCGCTCACACCTCGGCCGTCAGCCTCCACTCTCGTTTCCTCAAACCCACCTTCCCGGTCCCTGCACCCCAAGGCCTTCGCACATGCCCGTCCCCTTTCCTCGAATCTTTTCCTCCCTCTGCTCCTCGAACTTCCCTGCTGGCCACGGTGGGCTGGGGTCTCCTCTCATGTGCGTTCCGCCCCCTAAGCCTACCACCCCAGTAGCGGCAGTCCTTGCCTTATGCCAATACTGACGGCGGTGCATAAATGCCTTCACTCACTGTGTTGTCCCAGCATGCACATAGTCTCTCATTTAATCCCTCTCACCTGCTTCCAAGATAGGCATGAGTTGCCCCATTTTGCAGAGGAGGAAACACAGGTACGGGAGACCACAGGAGTTAGAGCTCAAGTGGGTAAGGGGGACACTGCTGTCCCACCCTCTGTGCCACTCCCATCCTCCTTGCTGACGGAATCCTAGTTTTGTGCAGGGCAGGCGTTTGTACCTAACACCTGACAAAATACTTGTTTTCCCAGCCGGCTTTGTAGCTGGGGTTCCAAGGTCACATAGTTCTGGCCAAAAAGACATAAGGGAAAATCAGCTGGAGAGGTGGCTTCTACGAAAGTTTTTGTTTTCTTCCATAAAAATTGACAGACCTAACTGATACTGCCCTTGGTCCTGCCCCCTCCCTGGCTTCAATACCGATGGGATGTCTGGAGCTGCAGCAGCCATCCTGTGAGCTTGAGGCCAGAGATGTGAAGACACAAGCCAACGAGGGCTGAGAGCGGATGAGGAGAAAGGGAAAAAGGGCCTGGGCCCCGACAGCATCAGTTGGCACCTGAATTAGTGCCAGCGACTGCCTTGTTATGGGAACAAAGGAAAATGAAGCCACCTATTTGTTTATTCCTCCATTGGTTGGGCCTTCTATTACTGTTAGCTGACAGCATTTGCAACTGAGGGCTTAGGACTCCTAGCCCAGTGCTCTTTCCACCGTATCATGTACCCAGCAGGCACTGGACATGGGTGAGTCACTTGCTTCTGCTCTGCACATTGGCCAAGGGCCAGGGGCCTCGCAGACAGGAAAGAGAAACGGTGTGGGAAGTCGGCGAGAATCTGTGTTGAAACAGGAAGACCTGTCGGCTGCGGGCGGGAGCTGACAACACGGTGCTCACTCCTGTGACAACAGCCACGCCCAGGGCCCGCCTAGTGCCAGGCCTGGCCGGGCTGTCAGCCTCGCACTCGGCCCTTCTTGCAATGAAACCACGGCCTGGCGGGCCGGGACAGCGCCTGCTGGACAGACGGCTTCACCCACCGCCCGCTGGCCCGAGCCTGGCCGCTCGCGTCCCTTCCTCCTGAGCGGTGGCCGGGGTCCCGCGGGCTCCTCCCATCCCTCACCCCAGCTCCCACTGGTCACCAGGCCCGGGCAGTTCGACCTCCCAGGACCTGCTGAATCCACGCCCTTGTCCCCACGGCTGCCCCCCTCTCTGCCTGTCCTCCGTCTTCCACTGGGGGTCCTCCTTGTGTACAAACATGCTCGGGCCTCTCAGAAGCCGTGACATCCTCCTGTTGCCTTCAAACACGCTCACGCAGCCGCCGGGTCATTTGGTCACGTAAGCATTCGGCAAACAGCTAAGGAGACCGGTGCCAGACCCGGGGTGTGAGGGCCAGTCAGGTGAGGGCCTGCTCTCGGGGGTCCCGGGCCAGCGGGTGGCTGCCAGTCGGCAGAGGGGGAGATGGCCCGGCTGTCGCGTGTCTCTGAGCGTTTCAAACCCGCGTGCCACAGCCTTCGCCGCTCAGCAGCTGCACCGGGCTCTCAACCCAAAAGTGGGGAGCCCTTCCTGACACCTGCTACTCCCCCTTCCACTTCCAACCCATTGCCAGCTATCTCCCCTGCTGTCCCCTTCCCCCCTTGCCACCACCCTGATGTCCAGGCCAGCGTTGTTTCCTCCCTGGATGGCTGCAACAGCCTCTGGCCACGGTCAGCTACTGCCACAATAATGCCGTGTGACACCCCCAAGCCTGCGTGCATTCTCACGCTCAGGGCCCGGCTCCGTGGGGCCAGCTGATTTAGGGGGGTTGGCTGGTGACTCTGCCTCAGGCTGGGGGTCGGGCGGGCTCAGCACCTGGCCGCAGCTCCAGGTCTGCCCCACCTGCTCTCAGCCTCCCGAGACCAGCGCTACCCGGAGCGGGTTCTTCCCGCGGCGGGTCACGGGAGCACAGGAGGCCAAGCTGTGGGTCGCAAACACAGTGACGGCCTCTGCTCTCGCTGCAGGTGGCAGAGCCCAGCACCACTGGGCTGGGGAGGGCAATTCCTCCCGGGGTTGGGGGACAAGGGGTATTTGCTGGGCGCCACCCCAAACCCTCACACCTCCCGGCCTGTCTCCTGGCTCCCACTCTTGCCCTTGGCCGTGGCGTTGTCTCCACAGAGCAGCCAGGGTGATCACGTGAAAACACACATCAGATCGAACCACAGCCTTGTTTAACAGCCTCTATGGCATCTGGGGACATTCAGCGTGAAACCCCACCCCACCTGCGAGACCCTGCGTGATGTCGCCAGTGCCTAGCTCCCGAGCGCCCCGGCACCGCCCGTTCCTTGAGGGGCTCCCGCCGCGGGGCTGCTCCCAGTGTTCCCGGAGTCCCTGGCCCTTTCCACCCGGGACCTTCGCTGGGGCAGTTCCCTCCCTCCGCCCCCAGCACGTGGGCTCCCAAAGCCCCCCCACGGTCACCCACACTCACCTCAATCACCTCCTCCCGCCTCTCTCCGCGCCGCTGTTGAGGAGCAGCCTTCCTCACTGGTTATACTTCAGCATTTGTTAAATGGGTCAGTTTGTTCAACAAGTGCTTCCTCCTAGACGGCAAGCTCCATGACAGCAAGGACCCGAGTGCTGTGTTCGCGGTTTAACACCAAGACCCTGGTGTGTCCTGGCCCCTTAATCCTTGCTGGAAGAATGTTTGCGTTTATGCAAACGAGCCAGTGGACCAGGGATGGACTTCAGTGGAGGGAGAGAGACCGACCGACCGTTCCAGCCACGAGTGGAGCCCGCCCTTCTGGCATCCCTATCAGGTGCCAGCCGCGTGCGGACCATCGGGATGTGCCAGCCCAGCTGAGGCCCCAGGTCACTGCAGCGCCCCCGCCGTCACGTGGCAGGGAAGAGGCGCCCGCATGAGCCCAGCCAACGCAGCGAATCCCGGGCGGGGACAACATGGCAGCTCTTATAAGCCGCTGCATTTTGGGGCGGTTTGTTACACAGACACTGATGCCGAAACAATGGCTTGGGGGCTGGGATCTTCTACTCCTTTGACCTCTGACTTCCTACCCTCCATGCCCACCTGAGAGAAACACTGACCTTTGGGGACACCTGACTCCACCCAGGCCTCATGGGGTCCGGTAGGCGGGGCTGGCTCTGGGGAGGGAAGGGCAGGTCTGGATGTCTCCAGACCCCTGGAGAGGACCCCAGGGAAGGCGAAATGAGCAGTTATCCGTATAATCCCAACCTCAATTCAATTCCGTGTTCTCGTGCTGACCACACGCTCCACACCACGCTGCGGGCAGGCGCCGGAGCCGCAGGGACCGGGGGCACCGACCCCTCCCGAGAGGCACTGGGAGGCCAGTGGGAGACCCAGACGCATTGATGCGCACCTGCCGTGTGGCTTGAGCCGTGTGTCACAGAAGTATATTCAACTGAGAAGGGAAGGGACTCTGGAGTTAAGGCGCTGGGGTAGGGGTGTTTCCACCCCGAGCCGAAAGCAGCCGCCACAGTAATGAGAACAAGAAACAGAGACAGAAACTCCCATCTTCGAAGAAACTAGGAGACACCTGTAACCTCAAAGCACGAGCACTGAGAGCAGATGGTGGGGTGGTAAATGATTTAACAGAGCCCAGGGGAGCAAACCTCAGTGCCTGCTGTTACGTGGCAGGGCAGGGGAGGTGGGTTTTGGAGATGGACACGACGTGAACCAGCTGGCCTTGCAGAATCCCGGAGAGGCTCCGAACCGGGGCACCTGGACACCACTGATCGTGAGGCAGGAGGCTGAAACAAGAGGGTTGTTTGAGGTCTGTGTAAGGAACAGTCAGACACCTCCTTTCCAGGTCCTCTCCTTGGCACTACTCAGACAGTCAACTGCCCCTTCTTACCCCAGGCAGGGAGAATTCAGCCAGAATGCTCCGGACCCAGGGACACCAGCTGTGGAGCAGAGTGGGTGAGGCAGCAGAATGATTTCTGGAGATGCTGTAGATTTGATTATGCTCCTTCCCATCCATGGGAAGGAATGTCTTTCCCCACTGCCCTGCTGCGGGGCTTGGGCATGTGAGTTGCTGAGGCCACTGGGCTGTGCATCAGAAGGAGGGACTGCAATGTGCTTGCACCCCTGAGCATGCTCTCTTGTGCTGCCAATACAAATGAATTGAATTAAATTAAATAGAACATGCCCTGGACGAGCCTGCTGTTTCCAAGAGTGGAAGGAACCACTGAGCAGAGCTGCAACCTACAGACTTGGCCCAGTCCAGCCCAGTCTAAACCAGCTCATACCAGCCGACCTGAAGATGTGTGAGTGGACCAAGTGCTTACTGTCGTGTGCCACAGAGTTTTGTGGGTATTTGTTACACAGCAATAGCTGACTGATACAGGGGGATTATGTGAAAGCCCGGATACCGAACAAAGTGACCCCAGCCCCCTTCCCTGGCCCAATTCAAGGGTGTCAGCACCTGGGCATACACTCACCCAGACAGGGAATTTGAGGGTCTGGTCATCCCAGAGAGAAGTCTCACAGATGCTGACATCTGGGTGTCCTTGACCAAAGAGCCAGCTGCCCTGCGGAGGTGCTCATCACTGCACGAGCACGGCTCCTGCGCTCCAGTCAGATTGCTGCTGCCTGACTCTGAAGCAGGAATGGATAACAAGGGTTGATTAGCTGAAGAAAGCTGCAACGTGAAAGAGTCCTGATCAAATGAGTAGGAGGAAAGGAACTGGCAAGAAACGTGGACAGTGCAGTGAGCAGAAGAAAACGTCAAAGAACCATCATTGCCATCCTTGAGGACATCAGGAAACATGTACCCACAGATGAGCACAGAACGCCACCGCAAAGGAGCAATCAGAACACAGAAAAGAGCTCTTGGAAATTAAAAATATGTTGATTAAAAAGAAGAAGATCTGGTGATGGGCACACAGAAAACCCTCACTTAAGCATTATTCAGGGAATCCATGTGACAAAAATACCTGCACCTCCTTAATTAATATTTTGAAATAAAAACAGAAGGATTAGAAGATAAAAACAGATAATAATAAAAAAAAAATCCAGGAAGTAGAACAAAATAGTAAAGGGCGAACGACAAGAAAATTAAAGGTTTAATCCAGGAGGCCCAATATTCAAGTAATAGGAGTTCCAGAAGGAAATAATAGAAAAATCTTTCTCAGAACTGAAGAACACAAATCTCCAGGTGAAAATAATCCACTTGGTGACCCACACGATGCATGAAAAAAGGCCAACCAAATCACATCGTCATGAAATTTCAGAAATTTGGGGATAAAGCAAAGATCCTAGAAGCTTCCAGAATAAAGGAAAAAAGTTACCTAAAGTTACACACAGTGGATTTGGAATAAGAATAGTGCTGGAAGCTGGAGACATGGATAGATGCCTTCCGTCAGCTGGGTCAACGTGATTCTCAACCTCAAATTCTATACCCAGCCCAGCTGTCAAGAAGCGTGAGAGGAGAGTTAACTATTTTCAAACATGCACACTTTCTCAGGAAGTTACTCGAAGCTATGCACCATCAAAATGAGAAAGTAAAACATCAGAAAGGAAGGCATGGAATTGAAGAAACTGGGTCTAACACAGGAAAAGGCTGTAAGGAACCCCTGATACTATGCTGTAGGGAGACTCTCAGGGTGTCGCTGGCACAGGCCTAGGGGCAGCTGGCCCAGACAAGAGGAGCTGAGCAGTCTCCAAGAAAAAATGCCCACCGAGGCTGGACTCTGGAGATTGCACTGTGAGGTTTGCATGAAGCTGTAGGAGTGTGTGGAAACCCTTAGTCCACGAAAATGATGTTTTAAAAAATGGATTTTAAAAAAACAAAAAACTAAGCAAATGAAAAAAATGAGGCAATTATTAACTCCCGGCTGAGCAGGAAATAATATTTACATTGCATTAATAACGGGCACACTGAATATGCATCTAACGAAAATCGCGTTGAGAGGATGGGGAGAAGGGCTGAGGTGAGAGTGTGCAAGAAATCTAAAATTCTCACCCCCTGTAATAGCAAGTCAGTAGACAAAGGGTGAAATTGAGGACTCAAGAGATAGAAAAATAAAGATGATATTTAGTAAGATGGAAGTAAATACGGAGAAATAGCTAAGAGGGTGGGGTTGCTTCTGAGACCAGGAGGGAAATTGAGGGAAATTCTGAGACCAGGAGGGAAGCAGGGCTGCAAGAGGACTGCTGTTTTTTGCTGTTATAGACATTTTTAATCAGTACGGTTGTCTCCTTTTATCTGCAGTTTCACGTGCCATGGTTTTAGTCGACCATGTCCAAAAATATTAAAATATATTGACACACAGAGAGAGGCCACATTCACATAACTTTTATTACAGCATATTGTTATACTTGTTCTATTTTATTATTAGTTACTGTTGTTAATCTCTTTTTCTTTAAGAAATAAACCACTTCTATTTGAGAATTTAGTGTGATTAGCAATTTTTTAATTAAATGGTTTGTACTTAGGAAGATAAAGAACAAAGGAGTAAACCCTAAAGAGTCTTCATGCTAGTTCACTTCATGACACACAAAATGGTAAAAAAAAAAAAACATAATCATTTAGTATTTTAAATATCACATTTTTACATTTCTAAGTATTAAATGAAAGTAATGCTGGTTGAAGTGAAGGCACCTAATAAATGTATGTTGATTCTCAAACTGCAAGACTTTGACAAAAATAACAAATGCATCCACATGTAACTATTTTATAACAAGTGTAAATTATTTCACAGATCCTTTTAACGAACAGTATCTCATCCTTCAGAGAACAGTTCTTTAACCATTAGCAAAAGATTGCCTTCCAAAAAGAGTTTAAGGCACTGAAATAGATGCATACATATTATCAACACAATGAAACACACGAAGTTATACTGAATGAGAGAAGAGTTTAAGAGTATTTTTTATGTTGTTAATCTCTTACTGTGTCTAATTTATAAGTTAAATGTTATCACAGGTATGTATGTACCTTATAGGGGGAAATATAGTACATATATACAGGGCTCAGCACTCTCGGATGTTTAAGACATCCACCAGTGGTCTTGGAACATACCCCCTGAGAATAAGTGGGGACTGCTATATTGGTTTTTAAAATTTACTTGCAAACAGTACTTTGATAAAATAAAAGCAAATTAAAAACAATTGCAATTACAGATAAAAAGGAAGCCCGGAGGAGAAAGCACCAGAGAGTGGGAGGGCTTCGGAGAAGGCTGCCCAGAGCAGGTGATGCCTAAACCTGTTGCAGGTGAAGAGACGGACAGGAGAGCAGCCTGTGCAAAGGCCCTGGGGCGCGTGTGAGGTTCAGACCGAAGACCATAGTGCTTTACAACGAGAGGAGGGGGCGATGTGGGGAGATGCAGGCAGAGGCGGGCTACCTGGGCCCCTTAGGCCGCAGCAGAGACTGAGGATTTTATTTGATGAGCACAGGCGGCCATAGGAAGTTTCTCAAGGAGGCAAATGGTGTGACTTCCACTTGTAAGAGACTCATTCTCCCTGCTGAGTAGTGGGTGAGGGTAGAAGCAGGGAACAATGAGAGGCGTAAGGGAGGCAAAGTTTTTCCTCTACCCTTTTAGGATTTCTTGCTGGGCCTAAGAATTAAACTGATATAAGACAGATTAACAAGAGAAAAGCATACGAATTTATTGACCTGTACAATGGGGGGCCCCCACCCCACAATAAACAACAACAAAGACCCAAGGAAGTGACCAGGCTATGTGCTTATACACTAGGTTGAACAAAGAATGACAATTGTGTAACTAAAAAGGTAGGTTTAAAAGGTGTGTTTGTACAGATTGATCTCGGCCTTGAGGCTGGTGATAAGCATGTCTTCCCTCTTCCTGCTGCAGGCAGGGCATCCTTCACGAGGGCCTTCTAGCTCCCGCTTTCAGAAAGGAAAGGGGAGGTCAGAGCGCCCTTCTTGCACCCACTGTTCCCCAAGTGCCTTCGGTTTAAAAGAATTGATTTGCCGGCCAGGCGCGGTGGCTCACGCCTGTAATCCTAGCACTCTGGGAGGCCGAGGCGGGAGGATCGCTTGAGCTCAGGAGTTTGAGATCAGCTCGAGCAAGAGCGAGACTCTGTCTCTACTTAAAATAGAAAAAATTAGCCAGGCATGGTGGTGCTTACCTGTAGTCCCAGCTACCCGGGAGGCTGAGGCAGGAGGATCGCTTGAGCCCAGGAGTTTGAGGTTGCTGTGAGCTATGATGATACCACTGCACTCTAACCAGGGAGACAGAGTGAGACTCTGTCTCGAAAAAATAAAAAGATTTGTCAAAGTGGCTTTCGGGGTGACACACCCTGAACTCCTTCAGGGGCCTGGCCCAGAGGGACGAGAAGGGAGGGAGCTGCAGGTAGAGGCTCTAAGGCCCGGTGCTGGGGGCGGAGGACAAGCTGACAGCATTTCCTTTATTTAACCTTCACAGGCAGCCCCTGGGCTGTGTGGCCAGGTGGGGAAGAGCAAAACTGAAGTTCCGGGAGGGGGTTTCATGAAGTCACGCTACTCGACAAGGGTGGGGGCAGAACTGGGGCTGGAACTCCCTGCCCAGCCTTCCAGCCCATCCCCCAACCGACCCACGAGAACCAGTGAACAAATGGAAGAGGCTGGGGTACCTGGAGCACAGGGAAACTGCAGGGAGGAGGCTGGGCCTGGCGGCAGGGGATGGCTTCACTCTGAGCACAGTGGGGACCCCTGGGAGGGCCCTGGGCAGGGGAAGGACGGTGCCACAGAACGCCACCCTCAACCCTGAGGGGCAACTCCCAGGAGCTCCTGGGAGCCCGGGTACACCTCATAAACTTGTATTGACAGGGGACTGAGGCCTGGAGGAAGGGCCTTACCAGGCACGGGGCAGGTGGAGGGACAGCGTCCAGAGGCCAGGGGAGCCATGGGTGGAAGTGAGTGTGCCCGTGGTCCCACTGTGTGCTGCTGCAGCCAGGGTGGCACCCCCGGGAGAATTCAATTCCCAGTTCTCTGAGAACATACTATATGACAGCTCTGGGCACCTGGTGACAAGGTAGGTCCAGCCCTGGTCCCAAGGAATGGCTCACTAAGGAAAGGGGCCTAGTTGGTGCCTGGCACATAGTAGGTGTTCAACAAAGACTCATTTCCTTTTCCCTTCCTTCTCTCACTACTCTTCCCCTTCCCTCCTGGGGCAGGGATGGGCACAGGCCGGGACACGGCGGCCAGAGGGGAGGACAGGCCCGTGCTCAGGCCCCAGGGCAGAGGCTCGCAGACCAGGTGGGCAAATCTGGCCCTCAGCTTGTTTCCATGCAGCCTACAAGCTAAGAGTGGTTTCCACAGATGACCACTTGCGATTGATTTATACTAGGAAACACTAACTTTGAACTCCAATTAAGCAAAATGTCATCCCCCAAGAGAATTCTATTCTTCTCATTCGTACACCTGTATCACAAACACATCATCCTCATTTATCATCATTATCCTTGGAATTCTGTCAGTTAAAAATTAGTGGAGATTTGTTTCCTCACTGTATAATGTCTTTAATTTTGCCTCTCCACCCTCAAAGCCTAAAACGTTTATTCTTTACCCTGTCCTTGCACCCCTCACTCTGCCTGGGGCTCTAGGTTCAGCAATCCCAGGACTAATGACCCCCACCCAGGCACCCCCGTGGCATGTGTCCTGGCCAGTGTCCTGGCCAGTGTCCAGCCCGGCTGCAGGGCAGGACCGTGGACTCCCAGCCCACTGCTCGCAGGCGCCCTCAGCCCTCCTCTCAGCCCCGGCCAGCCCACACCCCACCTGGCCTCAGGACACAGCTGTCGCCCGGGGCATGTGCTGCAGTGGCTTGAGGGAGCTCGGCTGGCCACGCTCTCCTCTCCAACTCCCTGCGGGAGCCAAGGCCGGCGTGGGTGGCTGAAATCTCCTCGGTAACAGGGTCTGCCCCCAGCTCCCTCTCCCGCTCCTCCCCAACCTGCACCCCCCAGCCCACACCTGCTCTCCGGCCCTCAGCCCCTCCTCCCGCCTCCCCTGCACCCCCCTCCTTGCTGGCTCTGTGTCACCATCTGTGGCACAGTCCCTCTCTGTCACTCTCCCTGCCACCCCCTCGTTCTCCTTCCTCCCTCCTCGCTCTCCATCCCTGCCTCCCTCTGCATCTCTCCCTCTCTCTCCTCTTTTCTCCTCCTTGTCTTCTCCCTGTCAGCATCTCTCCTCACTCCCCCTCATTCTGCCTTTCCACCCACTCGCGTCCTCTCTCTCTCCTCCCCCCACCTCCGACCGACCCCCTTTCCCTCTATTTCCACTGGCTTCTCACGGCCCCTGCTCTCCTCTTTTCCTCTTCACCTTGGGGAGCTTGTCCCACCCCCACCCCAGGCCCCTGACTGCAGACCCCACATCTGGGTCCCTGCCCCCCAGGATGCATCCTGGAGATGGGGGGTGATGCACCAGGCACCGCTGGGCAGTCAAGGCCAGAGAGCAGACGGGAGAGGCGTTGTGGGCAGACGGGGCCGCCGAGGGCCCGGGAGGGGCCCTAGCCCACAAGCCGTCTAGAAATGGGCACCGTTTGGGTGCCCTGGCTAGGGGTGCTCTGGGGAGCCCTGGGGACTGGGCAGCGAGGGGGGGCAGCAGAACGATAACCAGCCTGGCGGCCAGGAGGGCACCCCTCACCCCGTGGGCAGGTAAGGCGGCTGGGCCGGGTGGGGTCCTGGAGGCTGGGGTGCCGGAGCCCACTCCTGCCCAGGATGAACTCGGGGGGCTGGGGCTGGGGCTGGCAGCGGGTGAGGAGTCCCAGGGAGGCAGGAGGAGTCCTTCCCGTGACCTCTTTAGGGCTGCAGAGGCAGGGGTGTTAATCTCAGAATCTTGTGCCACAGTCCTAGGATCTCGCATCGTAGAGCAGCAGAATGTCGGAGGGGAGGAAGCCAGATGCAGCGCGGCATTGGCCCGGCTCAGCGCAGCTCTCCCAGCCCCCCCACGCGCGAGCTCAGCACGCTCATTAATCTCCACAACGCCCCCGGAGGTGAGTGCGCTTGTCTTCCTCTTAAAGGCAGGAAACCCAGGTCCTCGGGGAGAGGTGACTTGTCCAAGGTCACACAGCAATTTGGCGTCCTTACTCTGTGGCAGAGCGAAGCCCCCAACCCAGGGCTTATGGGGGGGCGTGTTCCGGGGGCCAGACCCCAGGCTTGGGGGGGAGCGAGCCAGCGTCAGCCGCGGCTCTCCAGGAGAAGGCCCGGTGCAGAGGACAAGCAGATGCAGAGACCACCAGGGGCCCTCAGCCTGCATTGCCAGGGCGGTCCCTGACCTTCATTTCTCCCAGCCTGGGGCCTGTTGAGAAGCCAGCGTGGCCAGGAGGTACCAATGGTTTAGGAGTAGACAGAACTGGGTTTGAATTCTGCCTTCCCACTCCCCAGCTGGTGACCTTGTGCAAGTTACTTAACCTCTCTGAGCCTCAACTTCCTTCTCTCTAAAACCCTCCTGGGCTCCATGGGGATTTCATAGTGAGTTTGAAGCCTCCACCTGGGAACAATGTCCCACCTTGGAGTGCTACTTGCTGAACTGCTTGGTTGTTCACATTTATGGTCGTTTGGGGTGGCATGCTGGGTGCTGAGGCTAAAGAAATAGATCATTCATGGTCCCTGCGTCCAAGAGCCAGCACTCCAGGGGGTGGGAGACAGGCAAATGGAGACAGCTGTTGGGTGCCTGGCATCCCGAGGGCCCGTCTGTAATTGCTGTGGGGCTTAGGGAAGCCACTCACCTTCTCTGTGCTCTGTCCCTGCTGGAACAGTCCTCCGAGGAGTCCGCCCCCAGCTTTCAGGCAAGCATGTGCCAAAGATAAACCAGACGGGAGGAAAAGTCCCTCCTTCCCGGGGATGAACTAGATTATGCACAGGATTCCAGCTCCTTAAAGAAAAGACGGCACGTAAACTGCAGGTCTGGCTTACGCGCGGAAAGCTGTGGTCGCCCTGCTCTGGCACGGTGGCCTGGTAGACTCTGAAGGGAAGACGGGCTGAGAGGAGGCCAGGAGTCTCTGTGGGGCTCAGGGGTTCTAGGAGGGGCCGTTTCAACCCTCAGCACAAAGGCGGATCTGGCTGGGTACGCTGTGTTCCTGCCAGGGCCACGTGTGTCAGCATGCTTGCTCACGTGTGTGCGTGCACACACATGCTGCACAGGCGGTGGGCTGGCCTCAGAGCTCACCCCTGGGCTTCCCTGGGGACACCTGTCCAGCTCCGTGCTCTTCTCTGGAGCCTGGAGCTCCTCCCCGCCCGCTCCGAGCCCTGGTGTGCCTTACGGGGATCTGTGCCTGGCACAGCGATGGGGGGAGCAGCAGGGGCTGGGGGAGAAGGTGGAGGGTGCTGTAGGGCCCTGGCCAAGGAGGTAGGACTCTAAGGTCCCGGGTTCCACAATTCTGGGTCTAAGAAGCACTGATTCTGGCATTATAGAATTCTAACATTCTCTGATTCAAAGACACTGAGTCTAAAACTCTGACTCTAAGATACTATGACTGTTCTAAGAAGCTAAAATTCTATTTCTCTCCCTTTAAGAGTGTGAGGCTTTGGGTCCATGGTCCTAATGGCTCAAGAGCCCAAGGGGCAGTGTGGGGAGCTAGCTGCTGGCTGGGCTCTCAAGTGGGTGCCTTCCCTATGCCTGGCCTCAGTTTGCTGCCCTGGGGAATGGGTGTGGAGGTGGGGAACGGTCATTAAGGGTCCTCCCAGATTTGCCCCTTCATAGGACAGTGTATGGTGCTGCATGTCACCAGCTTAGCCTGGAACCTGGCACAGTCGGGGCTCAGAGCAGCAGGCAGCACCGTTAGGACGCTGTAGCCCGCTGTGCGGATACTCTGTCCCCCGCCCCCGCAGTGCTGCTGTCCCAGGCTCAGGAGAGCTGACGAGGGCTTGGGGAGAGGGGTGGATTGAGGACAGTTTGGGGACGCCACCCCAGGCTCGAGGTCCCGTCTCCTCTCCCAGACCCAGGAGCAGAAAGGCGGTGCTCTGGGCCCAGCCAGCCTGAGCTGTAGTCAGGAGAAGCCGAGGCCTGGGGGTTCTTTGCCATCGTTGGCCTCCCCTGGCCTTGCAGCCCCAGGGCCTCAGGGTAGGGACAATCAGGTGGGCTCACCTGCCCAGAGTGTTTCTTTAGAGTTGGGGGGTCTCCCCTTCCCAGGAGCCTTGCACCTCAAAAGTGGAGTGTGCGCAGAGCAATGCAGGGTGCGCTGGGGGCACTTCGGGCCCAGCGCTGGCTCAGTGGGAGGGTTTGGAAGAAGGGCTTCTCCTCTGAGAGATTTCTCCCCGCCTCAGCGTTCTCTGCAGGGAGAATCAGAGGACAGCCAGGAGCCAAGGGACGGGGTGGGGTGGGGACGTTAGAAAGAAGGGGTGCGGCAGGAGGTCCAGGCCCCAGAGGCGGCTCCTGTTTTCAGGCTCCTGCTTTCCCCAGCAGGGCCTCAAATTCCACCAGGGCACTCGGTCCCCCTGGCGCTCAGGGCTGCCCGCCAGGCTCCTCTGAGTCATCCCAGCCACAGGCAGGGCGGCAGAGCTGCGCCGGTGCGAAGGTGACGCTGGGAGCGGGTGGGGGTCCAGAGCTGCGGAAGGGGGGCCGCAGTGCAGCAGGGCCGGAAGAGGCCCCTTCCTCATCCACAGGGCACTCGTCACGGGACAGATGCTGCCCAGCACCAGGGCACGCGGGGTTGCTGCGCCGCGGCACGCCCAAGACCATCTGAGATGTCCGCGGCCCGGGCAGCCTGCCCCACTGCCCAGGGATGGTGGCCGTTCTTGTCAGCGCCATCACGTGAACTATCAAGTTCTCCACCACCAGCGGCTGTCTGGGGGACAGGGGGCCTCAGCCACGCCCCCAGGTTCACAGCCACCTTTCCTGGAGGGCCTTCGGGAGGGTGCGGTGGGACGGCCCAGGCTGAGGGGGCTCCTAAGGGCTCTCGTCCCAGAGGAGGGGACACCCCTGAGCCCGTGGTTCTTAACCCCATTTGAAATCTGAGGAATTTGACACAAGCTCTGAGCTCTGCCCCCAAACGACACGGACACATTAACCTTCACCTAGACTTCCTGCTGCCCCTGGAGTTCATCTGGGGCCGGTGAAGGACCTGGGACGAGCAGCAGTGGTTTTGAGATGCGAGGGAGGAGCCCTGTTGGTGGGTGATGCACTTGCCGGGGCCCTGCCAGTCGGGGCATCGTATGTAGAAAGGGCAGGTATTGGTTTATGAATGGATGTGGCTCCGTGTCCCACACCACACACTAGCCCCATGATAGAGAGTGGTCAGTTCACCTCCCTGCGACTCGGTTTCCTCATCTGAGAAATGGGGACAGCGTCGCCTAGCCTGTGGGCTCTGCAGAACGAACGAGAGGGTGCGTGCCACCTGACCTGGGGTACGGTAGGTCTGCGAGCTCAGTGTGACGGGGCAGGGGCAGCACAGAGAAAGCCATCCTCTGTCGTGACCAGGCTGCGTCCTCCCTCCTTCAGGCCTGTAGCTGACTGCCGACCACCCTCCCCTCGGCCATGGACACCCCTGGCTATCCTTCACTGGTGCCCACGACCCCGGAGCCCGAGAACGCCTCCTCGGCCTGGCCCCTGAATGCCACCCTGGGAAACGTGTCGTCGGGCCCGAGCCCGGCTGGGCTGGCCGTCAGCGGCGTTTTGATCCCACTGGTCTACCTGGTGGTGTGCGTGGTGGGCCTGCTGGGCAACTCGCTGGTCATCTACGTGGTCCTGCGGCACACGGCCAGCCCGTCCGTCACCAACGTCTACATCCTCAACCTGGCGCTGGCTGACGAGCTCTTCATGCTGGGGCTGCCGTTCCTGGCTGCGCAGAACGCTCTGTCCTACTGGCCCTTCGGCTCCCTCATGTGCCGCCTGGTCATGGCCGTGGACGGCATCAACCAGTTCACGAGCATCTTCTGCCTCACCGTCATGAGCGTGGACCGCTACCTGGCCGTGGTGCACCCCACCCGCTCGGCCCGCTGGCGCACCGCGCCCGTGGCCCGCACCGTCAGCGCGGCCGTCTGGGTGGCCTCCGCTGTGGTGGTGCTGCCTGTGGTGGTCTTCTCGGGGGTGCCCCGCGGCATGAGCACCTGTCACATGCAGTGGCCCGAGCCGGCGGCAGCCTGGAGGGCCGGCTTCATCATCTACACGGCCGCGCTGGGCTTCTTCGGGCCGCTGCTGGTCATCTGCCTCTGCTACCTGCTCATCGTGGTGAAGGTGCGCTCGGCTGGGCGGCGGGTGTGGGCGCCCTCGTGCCAGCGGCGACGGAACTCTGAGCGCAGGGTCACACGCATGGTGGTGGCCGTGGTGGCTCTCTTCGTCCTCTGCTGGATGCCCTTCTACGTGCTCAACATTGTCAACGTGGTGTGCCCGCTGCCGGAGGAGCCTGCCTTCTTCGGCCTCTACTTCCTGGTGGTGGCGCTGCCTTATGCCAACAGCTGTGCCAACCCCATCCTCTACGGCTTCCTCTCCTACCGCTTCAAGCAGGGCTTCCGCAGGGTCCTGCTGCGGCCCTCCCGCCGCGTGCGCAACCAGGAGCCCACGGTGGGGCCTCCAGAGAAGACCGAGGAGGACGAGGAAGAGGATGGGGAGGAGGGAGGGGCGCAGGGGAAGGGGAAGGAGGAGAACAGCAGGGTCAGCCAGATCACACAGCCTGGCAGCAGCGGGCAGGAGCGGCCGCCCAGCAGAGCAGCTGGCAAGGAGCGGCAGTTCCTGCCCCAGGAGCCCTCCGCTGGGGAGAAGTCCAGCACGCTGCACATCAGCTACCTGTAGGGCCCTGGGGACGGCCAGGGTGGCCCGAGGAAGCGGCAGGGGCCATGGGTGTGCCTGGGGCATGCTGCCCAAGGTGCCAGAGACCCCTGCTGAGATGTTCAGAGGCCTGGGCTCTGATCCCACTGCTGCCGGGGCTTGCTGCGTGGCCTTGGGTAGGTCGCCTCCCTCTCTGGGCCTCGTTTCCACCTCTGTGACTCAGGGATAGGCGTCAGCAGCCTGGATGAGCTCTGTCGGGCGACAGGTCTGGTGGGCATCGCCGCTGGGCTGACCTTGCTGAGCGGGGCCGGGTTAGAGGCTGAGGGTAGGCTGGCCTGCCTCCCAGAGATGAGCATCCTGGGGACCAGCCTGAATCCTGGCCCTCAGAGGCCTGGATTTCCCGGGCTCAGGGTCAGGGACACGGGAGACGCCAGGGGCTGGGCTGGAGCCCCAAACAGAAGAAAGTCTACCCTGGGGGGAGGAGAGGCTACAAGTGCTCAGGCCCCGGTCAGCCGCCCCCACCCCCACGGGATGTGAGGCCTGGGGCCGGCTGCACCCTCTCAGTTGTCCTCTGCCGGACAACTCGGGAACCTCCAGGCCCTCTTGGCCCAGTCGCTCAGAGCTGGAGCTCCTGTGCTCCTGGACACGAGGAGAGGTGAACTTTCTAGGAAGCTAATTGTGTCCAGCTTGAGGGTCCCTTACTGCCTGGGCTCTTTTGAGGCCCTGCATCTAATTTTGTACTGTAATTTTGTATTCCTTTTCTTAGAGAGGGACCCCAAGCTGCATAAGCCTAGGCCACCCAACGCCTGGCTCGGGGCCCTGTTGAGGTCGGCCACCTGATCCCTGCGGCAGGTTGCTTTGGGTCTTGCGGCTGGAATTGGGGTGGGGGCATCCCCGGATCTTTGAAGGCTTCCAAGAGCCTCCTCATGGTGGGACCTGCCCTGTTCTCTCCTGGCGACCTCTCTCCTCCCTCCTGGAGACCCAGGCAGGGACCCCTGTGGACCGGCGTGGAGAGGCAGCGTCTGAGCAGCGCTGGGAGGAGGAGGAGATAAGAGGCAGAGGAGGGAGAAGGAGCAGGAGGGAGGACGACAGGTCTGTTTCTGGGCGCCATCGGTGGCCCTGTGGGCTGAGCGTGGCCGCAGCATCTATGAACCAGCGTCGCCGCGGCCCGGCCCAGCCGACGTCAAGGAGAAGCTGCACAGCCGAGTGGGTGAGCGAGCGCTCAGGGCCGGGGAGTTCCAGGAACAAGGGTTCAGGCCTTGACAAAGGCCACATTGGGAGAGTGGGGGGCAGGCCTCCCCATCCTCTTTGTTCCTGGGGGCTGCAGGTGGGGGCGGCCCCAGGAATAGAGACAAGGGGGTCTGGAGCAGAACCACGGGGAGTAGCCACTGTCCAGGGCTGGGCCCAGCTTCCTCCCGGAGATGATCCCTTCGAGCCGTGGCAGGGCCTGCCCTGGCGAGGGTGGCACCTCTGCGATGTCCCTCCACCCCATTCCCCTGCAGAGGACGGGGGGCCCTCAGGGAAAGCACAGGGAGCAGAATTTGGGAGGCCTGGATCTTCAAACTGCCTCCGGATCCATGGCTAGCCTTGGCCTCTCTGGGCCTCAATTTATTCATCATAAGATGGGGGTAGTCATCCCAGCTTGTCTGTCTCCTGGGACTTGGGAGAGAATGAGTCATGCTGGGTAAACTGCCAGGCTCACTGCAATGAAGGCCCTCCCCACCCCCAGGCTTGGCCTGTACCCCCCGCCCCAGCTCATCAAGTGGCCTCTCTGTGTCTGCCTCTTGGGGTGTGGACACTGCAGGCCATGAGAAATGGGAAGTTGGAGGTCAGAGGCCAAGGGGCAGGGAGGCAGGGCTCAGGGACAGTGCAGGAGGGGAAGGACGTTCACAAAACCAGAGATTCCATGGAGACTGGGGGCTGGAGGCCCAGCCCTGGAATGTGGTCAGGGGTCCCCCTGAGGAGGATCTGAGCATCTGAGGGAGAAGGGACCCCTGGCATCCCAGCCTTCTCTGGCCAACCCTGCCTTCCTGACTCCTGGGCAGATGAGCAATGTCCTGCAAGGACAGTGGGGAGGCCAGTTAGGAAATCCTGCTGCTTCTGCCGCTAGCTCTTGTCAATAAAGATGGTGATACGCGACAGCATCGTGGCCTGGCCAATCTCTGCCAGACGCCGTGAGTACAGATGGGTGTGAATGTGCAGGTGTGTGTGGGCTCTGTACACCCTGGCCTCTTCATGTGTGGCCTCCCAGAGGATGTAGAAAATACCCTCAATGGGCCTGGACCCACATCCTTATAGATCTTGATCTAAAAGCAGTAGATCTCCTTCCTTCCTATTATCTAAATAGCGAATCTCATGGAAGAAAGCTGATTGGCTCCAACTGGGTCACATGGTGGTCCCCTGGGCCAATCATCAAAGACAAGGTGATAGGACGCCATGGTTGGCTAGGTATGGGTCATGTGCCTACACTGCCAGCTGGAGAGAAGGTAGGGCCTGGCCAGTAGGGTAGGGGTGGTCAGGGACAGCCCACCAATGGCAAGGGGAGGTGGGTCAGGCAGCAACGACAGCACCTGGGTGTGCTCAGTGCTCCTTGTGTGTGGCTGCCTTTACTGGCTGTGATCGTGTGTGTGAAGGTTTGTGTGAGCACAGTGCAGGATGCACAGTAGGTGCTCAGCCACATCCGAGACTGCACATGCACTGGGGCCTCACGTGGGGCAGGGGTGCATGGGGTGGGAGCAGAGGAACTGCTGGGGCCTGGGTGTGGTGTGGGAGTCACCGCCCAGCCAGGGTCCTTCCACAGGCTCCCATAGCCCCGGCTCCACCGCCACAGTGGGTGCCACTGCCTGTGCATCTCACGTGCACATGTGTGTACATGTCTTTGTCTCCCACACACGTGTGTCTGATAGCCTTGTCCCTCCCAAGGCTGGGCTATGCCTGGTGTGTCTGTTTCCAGGGCCGTGCCCATGTGGGTCTTTCCAATGAGTACCTGGAACGAATGCACAAAGGGGGCCATTGCATTTCACAATTCCAGGGTACTCCACCCTGTGACTCCAGCCTCCTTCAAAATTGTACAATGTAGTGGCCCTGAATACATGAGTGTGGGGGGATGGAGGGCGGAAGGAGCTTATATTGGGATTTGGGGCTAGAATCTGTGGGTTAGGGGCGCCTCAGGGGCTGTAGGGTGAGGGGAGGCTCTGTGGTTGTGGGCTTGAGCAGGGAGGGAGGGGTGGTGACAACCCAGCTTGCCTGACTCCTCTTCTTCAGCCATCGAAGTTGCTCATACCCAAGTCCTTACCTTGAACTTGTCTCTCAGAGGCGGTTGCCAGGCAACAGCCCATGGCCACCCAGCTTTGGACCAGGACTTTTTGTGTTAGCACCAGGATTATCAGGAGGGAGCTGGGCGTCTGCAGGGCCAGGAGCAGGGAAAGCTGAGGCCCCCAGATCTTTGGGATCCTCTTCACCTAGAAGGGGTGGGGCAGATGGAGGCCAGTGTCCCATGGGAGGTGACAGCTCGGGCTCCACAGGACTCCAGACGCAGAAGAAAACACAGCAAGAAGCCCAGGCTATGCTGTGGGGGCCACTGCCCTGGGGTTGTACAAGGCCCCCATCCTGCCAAGGCGTCGGGGTGCTCCCAGCACTGCTGGCAGGCTGCATGGGAGATGCAGCCCCTAATGGCCATGGGACCCACAGTCGGAGGCCTGGGCCCCACTCTGCCACAAACCTACTGTGTGGCCTTGGGCCATTTATTTCACCTCTCTGGACATGATTCATTTAGTTAACAAAGGCTCTTCTGAGCACCAGCTGTACCCAAGGCCCTGCCACTGGCTGGGGGTACAGTAGAGGCAAACAACACAGTTCCCAAGCTCATAGTGCTCACAGCCACCACACGGTGAACGCGTCACTGTTTGTTGGGCTCACTGGGGAGGGAAAAGTGCAATGTGCTCTGGAAGCATCAGGGGGTCGGTGGGGCTGCAGCAGAGCCAAAGTCTGAGCCTAAGAGTGCCAGGCAGAGGGACCTGCACGTGCTAAGCCCCGAGCATGGAGCAGCCCAGTGAGTGAGGGAAGGGGGTAGCAGGGAGATGCTTCAGGGACACAGGCTGTGTCACACGGGCCTCCTAGGGCGTTGATCCCTGTGATGAGCTGAACTGTTCCCCCCATTCATATGCTGAAGTCCTAACTCCCAGTACCTCGGACTGTGACATTTTTGGGAAATCAGGTCATTGCAGAGGTAGGCAGTTAAGATGAGGTCATACCAGAGTAGGAAGGGTTCCTAATCCAACTTGACTGGCGTCCTTAAAAAAGGGAATATTCAGCCAGGCGCAGTGGCTCACACCTGTAATCCTAGCACTCTGGGAGGCCGAGGTGGGAGGATCGCTCAAGGTCAGGAGTTCAAAACCAGCCCGAGAAAGAGTGAGACCCCGTCTCTACTAAAAATAGAAAGAAATTAATTGGCCAACTAAAAATATATAGAAAAAATTAGCCAGGCATGGTGGCGCATGCCTGTAGTCCCAGCTACTTGGGAGTCTGAGGCAGTAGGATTGCTTGAGCCCAGGAGTTTGAGGTTGTTGGGGCTCTCACTCTGACTCAAAAAATAATAATCATAATAAGATAAAATAAAAGGGGAGATTCGGACACAGACAGGCACACAGGGAGATGTCATGTGAACATGAAGGTGAAGACCGGAGTGATGGTTTTTCGAGCCAAGGACGCCAAGGATTGCCAGCAAACACCCGGATGCCAGGAGACAGTGCGGGAAGGAAGCAGCCAAGCTGACACCTTGGTCTCGGACTGTCTTGGACTGCCAGCCTCCAGAACCGGGAGAATAAATTTCTGTTGTTACAGTTGCCCAGTTTGTCGTACTTTGTTAAGCCACCCTAGCAGACTAACACAGTTCCCCACCTGCGAAACAGAAATGGCAGCCCCTCCTCTCCTGGGTCTCTGGGGAGCCGTTCAGCAGCTCCTGGGTGGCCGCCAACAGCGAAAGTCGAGGGTGGAGAAGCGGGGTACAAGGCCTGTCTTCTAGAAGTCAAGGAAGGGACAGCACAGGTGAGAGGTCCAGAGGGCAGTTCCTAAGCACACAGACTCTGGGACTGCCTAGGTTTGCGTCCCGGCTCATTGGTCAGTAGCCGTTTGACTTTGAGCCAGTTAATTAACCTCTCTGTGCCTGTGTCCTCCTCCCTGAGGTGAGGATGAGAGCAGTCGTCCCTGTTGCTAGGAGGTTTAAATGAGTGAATATTTGTAGACTGCTTAGAAGAGCGGCCGGTGTGCCGGCGGTCCCGTGTAAGCGTTAAGTAGACCTGGGAAGTGCTTTTGTGGAAGCAAGCATCCCTCCGCGCTGGGCCGGGAGCCTCCCAGGAGGTGTTAGAGTCCAGCCAAGTGTGACGGGGGACAGGGGCTTGTCCACAGCAAGGTGTGGGAGACCTTCCAGGTGCTGACGACAGCTCTGATACTCATTTTACAGCTGAAGACGGTGGGGCCCAGGATGCTACGTGACTTTGCCCAGGGTTACGGCACCAGGAGCAGGACCCAAAACACTGTTTCCCCAGCCCCCAGGCCAGTGCCCATAATTTTTAAAAACTATGAAAATGGGTGCTGGGTGGACAGGAGTGATGCCGGGAAGGGGAGAGCTCTGAGGCCGCTGGTGTCAGCTCCCTGGTGGCCACCGGGCCATGGCAGACAACGCCCTCAGGGGAGACCCGACAGGCAGAGCCAGTGCCCACTGGGACCGCAGTTGCTTCTCAGAGGCCTAGCCACCCCCAGCAAGCGTTGCAGCCCTGGCACAGGCCCGCCTAGCAGACCAGGACAGTGTGCACACAGGAGGGAATGATGGGTGCACATGCGTGCACACGCTTGCACACGTGTGTGCTGAGGGTGAGGCCAGCCTTCACTGTCTCATAGGCTCAAAGAGAGTGGCCAGGGCACACTCAGTGTCCCCCAGGGTCCCAGACACCTTTGGTTCTGGCTTACGTGTGTCCCCAGAGCCCATTTCCTCTACCACCATCTTGTTCCAGGTGGGGAAACTGAGGCCCAGGGTGAAGGTGGGCTGTACCAGAGCCCTGCTGGAGAAGGACATGGCCTCTCAGCCCTTCCACCTGCTTTAATGGCCAGCAGTGTGTCAATATTTGCTATGGGAACTGCTGGTGCTGCATGCTCGGCTGGGCGCAGGCCCGAGCCCGGCTAGTCGCTCCGTCTGTGACACCATGTGTGGCCTCTGAGCTCTGCCGGGACCTTCCGCCTGCTCCTCCAAAGGGAGGGTCTCTGCCCGCTCTGGCCATAATAAACAGCAGCTATGGGGGGAAGGAAACACACAGCGCCCGCTTACGTGGGCGGCCGTGGCAGTTGAGCCCTTGGCACACGCTCAGGTTCGAACCCCAGCTCCACCGCCTCTTAGCTGAGTGCCTTTGAGCCAGCCTCGGAACCTCTCCGAGACTCAGTTTCCTCATCTGTAAAATGGACTCCACACCCCATCTCACACGACTATGGCAGGACTAGGGGGCCCTGCTGCAGGGTGGCCTCCGCGAGGTCAGCTCTGTGCTCTCTGTGCCCGGCAGGGGGCGCCGCGGGACCTCAGGCCTCGCCCCCTCGCCTAGCAGCGTCCTCCCGACTGCTTGTCTCCGCGGGCCCAATTCGGCCACCCTCGGATCCGCTCGGCCTCATTCGGCTCTGCTCGGTTGTACTCGGCAGCACTCGGCCCGACTCGGCCATGCTTGGCCTTGTTCGGCTCTGCTCCCTGGCTTCGGGGAGTCGCCCCTCTTACTTTTGCTGTGGGAAGGTTTGCCCTGGCCGGCAGTCCCATCATCCTGGCTCTGCCACTAGTCGGCCGTGGGAGGGAGACAGCTGCTGGCCCCAGTGTCCCTGAGCCTCAGTTTCCCCGTCTAACAATGAATAGGGGCCTCGTCGGGGCGCAGAGGGCCTGGACGGCGCTGGCGCAGTGCTTCCCTGGGTCTCTTGGGGATTCAGTTTCCAGTCTTGTAAAATGTGATCCAGCTCGCCCGACCTGGCCTCACGCCAGTGGGATCCGGCGGGGAAACTGGATCCAGGGAGCGAAGTTCACCCGGGGCCGCTGGCTCGTCGGTGCTGGGGGGTTCTGCAGAACCGGGCTGGGGCCCTGCCCGCGGGAGGGAGCGGGGGCTGCCGGGCCGGGGAGAGGGAGGGTCCTTTTGGGCCCTCTGCCCACTTTGGGAGACGCTGGATTGGGGCGAGAAGTGAGAGGGCGGGCGCCCCGCACCCCCGCCCTCCGTTCGCTGAGACGGGGCTGGGCCGGTGCGCCGGGCGCGATGGCTGTCCCCGGCAGGTGGCGCTCGCGGTGTCCTTTGTTTAAATTGATAACTGCTTGAACAATGAGATCCGCGACTCCGGGAATCATGTTTACTGTTCTCTTACTTTTGACAGGCATAGTTTGTTTGTTAACTACGTGAAGCACACCGTGCTTTGCAAGTGCTGACGGAATGTGCCTGTTTTCACACCTTCCGCTGACCCTGGGCTGCAGTGTGGCCAGATGGTACAGCACAGTGGCTGGGGCTTGGCTGCCAGGCAGAATCTGTGCCTGTTTCCCTCGTCTGTAAAGTGGACAGAGGAGGTAATAATTGTGCCTGCAGCAGAGTGTGAGTGGAAGGGTTAGATCCCAGAACAGGACCTGGTGGGAGTCAAAGCTGTCTTCCGGGAGTGGAGGTGGCCGGGGTGGCTGGAGAGATACAGGGTGCATGCCCTGCGTTCTGGGCTTGGTGACAAGGGTTCAGGCCTTCTGCCTTGGGGTCACACCTTTGCCGAGGGGAGTTACGGCAGGGTGATGAGGGCATCATGGGCCAGCTGCTCCTCCTGGCTGTGCCGTTGTCCTGGGTCCCAGGCTCCCAGCGGGCTGGGTCGTGCATGAGGAGAGTGGGCACCCCTCCCCATACGCAGGGGTTAGCCAGGGAGCAGCGCTGATGGGTGGCCAGTTCGGAGCACCCCCACTGGGGCTTCCGCCAGGCTGCTCAGATGGTCCTGGCTTCCTCATGTCCACCTGGCCCAGGGACAACAAGGCTCAAAGAGGTAAGGAAGCTTGTCTGAGGTCACACAGCTAGGAGGAGGTAGAACTGAGTCATAACCAGGGCTGGAGCTCTGCCTCCAGGCCACCTGACCACTGAGGAGATCCTCAAATGGCCCGGCAAGCAAGAGCTGACCCGCAAATGGAAGAATTTTCAGGCATGGCAAAAGACAGTGGGAGCAAAAATATTGAAGTGTGATATTCCAGAGTTCTGCTCTCTTCTCTACTCTGGCCCCAGCCAGCTGCCCTGGTCCAAGGGAGACAGGGGACCCTTCTCTGGGGCACCGCATGGCTGGGAGCCAAAGGAGCTGGCCCTAGAACCTGGCGAGTCACCTGTCTTTCCAGGCCTCAGCCTCCTTACCTGTTAAATGAGATGAATGGGCTTCCCCTGCGGAGGGGCTGTTGAGTGCGGCATGGTGCGCAGTGTGGGCACACAGCTGTTCTGGACAAAACTGGTCTTGTGGTCCCAGCCTGTTTCTCCCCATCCCCCATCCATAGTCCTCTCTCTGTCCCCCTTTCCTCACAAGGTCAGGCTGTCTAAGCCCCAGGGGTCAGAGACAGCCAGGAGCTGGCTCCCTCCAGAGCTGCTGACTCAGCCCTTTCCCTCTGTGGCAGCAGGGAGGTGGCTCCCTCCCTCCGCAGCCCTGGCTCTGTGCCCTGGGAATGCTGCCTGGGACAGGGCCACGTAGCGGGCAGGGCCGGGGTGGGGCGGGCCTGCTGGTGTTCACGGTGGCCACAGTCCTTCCGTCTGCTTTCCTTCCATCCCCCTTGGACCCCTGAGTAGACCTGGGCGACTCCAGGTCGGTTTGGGAAGGGAAACAGCACAAGGCTAGAAGTCAGCAGGGTCTAGCTCTCTTCCCGGCTTGGGCTGCAGTCTGCTGTGCGACCTTGGGCCAAAGACTTGTCCTCCCTGGACCACAGTGTCCCTGCTGGTCAGATGATCAGATTAGATCACCTCTAAGGATCTTCCAGGATATTCTGCTGTTTGATTGTTCCCCAAATAGGGAATCCGAGGCCTGGAGACGAGCCCTGGCCAAGAACACTCTGCCCAGCTCTAAGTGGTGACTGGGGGTTAGCACCCAAAGCCCCGGGCTTGAGTATGTACTCTCAGGTCTCTGCACCCCTGCGCCTCCCTCCTCCGGGGCCAGCCCTGAACGAAAGCCTTGCCTCGTCCCCATGCTCAAGGGCGGTGGGCACCCCGGTGGGTTGGAGAGCCTTCTCTCTGTAGGGCGCTGGGCTCCCCTCCACTAGCCGTGTGGCCCCGGGCAAGTCACTGCAGCTGCCGACTCCAGCTCCCTCTCCCAGCTGTCCCGAGGCTGTGGTGGGACTAGCAGAAATAATGGACAGAGATACCCTGTGGGGACCGGAAGCCGCTAGAGAGACAGGCCTGGCCCAGGCAGTAACTGGCCCAGGCAGTAAGTCCTAACACTCGTGGAAGGGAGGGTGGGGGAGGGTGGGGCACTTGTCTTTGCACAGAGGTCTCAGGCCCCAGAAGCCAGGGCAAAGAGCCAGGGCCTCGGCCTTTGCCAAACTTCCCCCAGCCTAACTGGAAGGAAACTGAGGCAGGACGCTGCCTAGACCCAGGGGCACGCAGACTGCCCCCTATGAATTTCTTGAGCTCCAGAAGACCAGGAGTTTGAACCAATAACACTGGCAGAGTTCCAGAGAGGAGGACTTTGTTGTTCATGGGTCTTGGGGGCTGACCTGGCTGCCACCCTCACACAGTATGACCCAAAGAGGTCACGCCCGATCACTCACTCAGCAGACAGGCATTGAGCCCTCCCGAGTGGCCGAGTGGCCGGCAGGAGGGACCCACGCACTGGGTTCTCGCTCCATCACTGCAGGGTGAGGTGGTACAGCAGAGGAAGAGCGCTAGCAGGCTCCCCGTCCAACGTGAAGGGACCTCACACCCTTTCCTGCTCTGTCTAGGCCTTTGAATCGAAGGAGACCCCCGTGGCCCAGCAAAGAGTTAAGCAAAGGAAATCCCCCTGTCTGGCAGAGCCCTGGCGGAGGGAGGGAGCAGGAGGAGGGGCGCCGGGAGCCAGCTCAGCCGCTCCCGCCCTGGCCCTGCCTCCCTGCATCCCTTCCTCCCGCCTCCCCAGCTGGGCCTGGGGTTCTGGGCCAGCAGCCACTTAGTGTGCTGACATGGGCCAAGGAGCCAGAGGCCCTGCAGTGGCCCCGGATCCGTGAGCCAAGCGGGAGGCCGCAGGACACAAGGTGAGTGACCTGAGGCTCCTGGGACTCCTTTCCTCCCTCCTCACTTCCTGGATGAATCTGGGGCCCTGCTCTCTCCCTCTGACCCGCCAGCCTCTCAGGCTTTCCTCTCCCCACTCCCCCCTGCCCCTGCAGAGCCCCGCTTTGCTCCTGGCCTGTACCACCCTGCCTGGACACACACCAGCTCTGCTCAGCTCAGCTTCCTTGGACCCCAGACCGAGAAGGGTTGCCCAGCCACCTCTCTCCCCCAGAGAGACCCCAAATCCCCAGTGGAAGCAGCAGGGACCCCAAAAGTCCCCCTGATGGCATGGTCCCCCATGCTTGGTCCCTGCCTGGCACCCTCCCCAGGGTTAGCCAGTGATCCTAGCTGTGGTTATTATTCCTCTTGTTAAAGGCTTCCTGCTTCCTGCCCCTCAGGCCAGGCTCTGTGTCTCTGAGCTTTCGACTCTCGTCTGGCTGGGGCCAATGGGAAACAGAAATGTCACCAAACCATGCCAATCCTCTGGGGAAGTTCTGTTTCTTCCCATCCCGTGCAGACACAGGGAAGACACAAAAGTCAGAACATAGTTTTTAAAAGTCTTTTGCAAGTCAGGCACTTTCCTACACTGAAGTCCTCTCAGACAACCCGGGAAGGAAGTGGTGGTGTCATCTCCTTGCAAATGTCAAGGAGTGGGAAGCCCAAGGAGGGGAAGCCACCAGCCACGGGTCACAGCTTGTAAACTACGCTGGGACCTCGGTTCTGACTCTGAGACCTCAGCTTTTCTCAGGAAATCACAGCTATGGCCAGGAAAAATAAAGGAATTTTGCTCTTCTCAAAACCACTGAGATCTGTCGTTTACGAGTAAAAGGTGAGGATGACAACGTCAGAGAGGGACGATGTGGCCCTCTGAGGCCGCGCCCTGCTTGTGGGGCAGAACCCGGAGACTTGACCAGCGTGGGCAGAGCAGAGCTTGGGGATGGTCCCCTCCAGGAAAGGGTGGGTGGGTCTGCAGACTGCCCGCCCCCCTCCTGCACCCCCCAGCTGGGGGTGGGGAGGAAGCGGACCGGGCTCCTGCCCCTTCAAACCCACTCTCACCTCGGTGCTCAGTGACATAGTCTGGTATTTTAAAAGGTAATAATTTTATCTTCTCGACATGTATTAACCACAGAAAAATATTTTTGAATTGTACGAAATGTTAAAGGAGAACAAAAAGGAAATAAACAAAGAAACGCCAGAAGTGTAAAAACCAGTCTGGTTTCAAAAGCGGAGTTTCTGATGGTGCGATAACTCACCGCCAGCCCCCAAAGGCTGCCACCACCTCAAAGGCTCTTTGCCTGGCTTCCTGCCCACCAGCCCCAGGCCTGTCCCCAGAGCCTGGTGTCCAGGCTACTTCCTGCCCCTCTCCTGGAACTCTGGACCCCTTCTCGGCCAAGGCCAAAGACAGATCCTCCCAAACCCTTAGACTTCTCTGCTCCTTTGAATTTTCCAGACCTTCTGGTCCTGTCGCCTAATTTCAGTTTACCTCCTTGGCAGCTGATTGGCAGGTCTATGATGATTGACATAACCACCTTCCAATGAATTAACTCTCTCTGGAGCTTTCCTGGCCGGGCTTCTGGGTAAGGTTGTGTAGGATGTTGACTGCTCAAAGGTGCTGAAGGGTGAAGTGGGCTAGCACCAGCCCTTGCCAAGCTGCACGCCCTCAGCTTTGCATTCCTCCAAAGGGGACTTCTTTTTGTTTCTAATTTGTCCCTCCAGAGGGGCGTTGCCTTCCGCTTTGCATGAAGGCGCTGTAAAGGCTAGTGACGCCTGTAGTCCATGACTCGGGGCATCTGCTCCTGACCTCTCCACGGCGCAGTTTCAGCATCACCACGAATAGCCCTGCTCGTGTCCTCTCCTGCACGCTGCTTCCCGTCTGCTGGAATAAATGAACCCTCCGAGCTCCCTTGTCGGAACCATGGTGTTCCCACGCCAGAGTGTAGGCTCAGCCACATGTCCTCTCTCCTGGGAACAAGCTTGCAGAGTCCTTTGTGTTTGTCCCTTGTGCCCACTAATTGATGGTGGAGTCAGTGCCAGGATAACACGCCAGAGAGAGGCTCAAGGGTGGGAAAAGCATTTGAGGGTCTCAGTGGTTACCAGTCATGGGCAGCTGGGCCATCCTCTCACCGGCCCCAGCAAAGGCCTCCTGGGACCCTCGTCTTGGCTGTGGCTGTGCAGAGGACTTCCTCCTTCCCAGGCACGGGGGTGGCAGAAGTCTCCATGGACTGGGTGCCAGGGACTCAGCGTCCAGGCCTGCCCTGCCTCAAGTCTCCTAGTGGGAACTTGCTTCCATGTGCAGGCCTCAGTCTTCTTGTCTGTTAACTGGGAGCAGTCACACTCCCTCCCGAGTTATGTCAGGAGTGCACTTGCTGGGGGTGGCAGCAGCCACCCTGAGCATTGGCACATCATAGATGTTGAGTGACATGTAGTTCCTGTCCCTCCTTCCTTGTTCCAGGTCACCATGGAGATAGCCACCCTGGGTCCCCTCTGGGCTGCCCTCCTGCTCCCTCTCTTGGTGTTTGGGGTCCCCACAGATGAGCCCACCTCCGGGGAAGCTGTGGCCTCTACCCTCACTGGGGGCTGCCGACGGTGCTGTGACTCCCTGGCCCCTGCCGATGCTGCACATGTGTCCCCAGCCTCTCCGTCCGGCCTCCCGTATGTCCTGCCTGAGGTCAGGCCCTACATTAACATCACCATCCTGAAGGGTGAGTACCCAGCCCGCCTGGTGGGGCAGGGAGGGCCAGGGGAGAGGGGGAACAAGGGAAACCAGCACAGAGAACTGTCCCAGACCCTCTTCCATGCACGTGGAACTGAGTCCCCACTGTGTGGCAGGACTGTTCTGAACACTGAGGGTGGCGTTGGGACCAAACCAGGCAAAGCTGCCTCGGCCTGGGCTCCTTTCTCATGGAGGTGGGCAATGAGCAATAAAATATTCCCCAAGTTAATGGGAGGGAATGTTCAATGGTGATAAATGCTCCGGGAGATGTCAAGGTGGTTGGGGCGAGGGGCATTGAGAGTGCAGGCCTGGGCGTGGCAGGCCTGGGCACAGGGTTGCACACTGATGGGGAGTGGTCAGCCTGCGCCCGGGGCAGGGGTGGGCCTGGAGTGTTTCAGGAGCAGGGCGGGAGAGGTGGCAGGGCTCAGATCATGCAGGGCCTTGTCTTTAGTGGCCACAGTCAGGACTCAGGCTCCTCTGGGTGTGGTGGTGGGGGGGCAGGGGTGGGTTTGAGCAGAGGAGAGACCTGATTGGACCTAGGTTTCAAATGGATCCTTCTGGGTGGATCCAAGATCCTTCTTGGTTGGGAAGACCCCAACCAAGACCCCAACCATGCCTGGGTCCCCAGCTGGGCTTCTCCCTCAGAGACCTGCAGTGCACCCCACCACAACGCACGTCCTTGCCAGCCTGGGCCTGGGGACCCCAGTCAGACCCTCCCTGCCGGGCAAAGGGAACAAGTTTGCTCTGGGGACAGACCAGATTCTGAGTGCCACGCCTTCTGCTCCTGAGCTGGGTGTTCCTGGGCAAGTCATTTGACCTTTCCATGAAGTGGAGACGGTCACAGTGTCTTCTTAGAGGGGTGCGTGGGGAGGCAACGTCTGGCATTCAGCAGGTACTCAATACATGCCTGCGCCTTCTCTGGGCCTGGGCAGGGGCAGGGCCTTCCACAGACAGATGTGGTGTGGGGACCTCCTTGGCACAGGCCCAGGTGCCCACCCTGACTTCTCCCCTACTCGTCCCACAGGTGACAAAGGGGACCGAGGCCCACTGGGCACACCAGGGAAGCTGGGCAAGGAGGGTCCCCGGGGGGACCGTGGCCCACAGGGCAGCAAGGGCTCGAAGGGGCAGGCGGGCAGCCCGGGTGCCCCGTGCCGGACGCACTCCTCGGCCTTCTCGGTGGGCCGCAAGGCGGCGCTGCACAGCAGCGAGGGCTTCCAGCCGCTGCTCTTCGACACGGTCTTCGTGAACCCGGACGGGCACTTCGACATGGCCGCTGGCCGCTTTGTCGCCCCCCTGCGCGGCCTCTACTTCTTCAGCCTCAACGTGCACAGCTGGAACTTCAAGGAGACCTACGTGCACGTGGTGCACAACGAGGAGGCGGCCGTCATCCTGTACGCGCAGCCCAGCGACCGCAGCATCATGCAGAGCCAGAGCGTGATGCTGGCCCTGGCGCCCGGCGACCACGTCTGGGTGCGGCTCTTCAAGCGCGAGCGTGAGAACGCCGTCTACAGCGACGATGTGGACACCTACATCACCTTCAGCGGCCACCTCATCAAGCCCGAGGACGACTGAGCGCCTCCAGGTCACCCTCCCAGCTGGGCAGGTCCCACCCCCTGCAGGGCTCAGTTTGCATCTCTGTAAAGGGGGCCAGGTGGCCCCAGGGACCTGGCATCCTGGGGCAGCCCCTACTTTCCTTACTGCCAGCATCCCTCCCAGACCGTTTCCGTTCCTCTCTCCTCTCTTGGACATATTTTAAGAAACTTTCTACCTAAATATTCTAGAACTTTCCCAACCATGTAGCCCAGCACTTCTCACACTTGAATGTGCTTGCGAGTCACGTGGGGATCTTGTTAAAATGCAGATTCTAATTTAGCAGGTCCAGAGGGGGCCCAGGATTCTGCATTTCTAACGAGCTCCTGGGTGACGTTGGTGCTGTCAGTCTATGAACCACACTTGGATAATCCAACCACACTCTAGAACTTTCCCAACATCCCAGTACTTTCTGAACATTCTGGAATCCTCCAAACATTCTGGAATTCTCCCATTACTCTAGGACTGCCCCTCCTGCTCTCTCTGCTCCTCTGCCTTCTCTCTGTCTCCTCTGCGGCCACCGTTCATTTCCTCACTCGCCAAACGCTGAGCGCGTCTCTGCGCCGGGCCCTGCCCCTGCCCTCAGGGAGAGCCCGTCCGGCCCAGGTGGGGGACAGATGTGCACGTGGAGATTTTACGCAGACGCAGAGAACACACAGGGCTGTCCTGGGCAGTCTGTGTCTGGGTGTCCAGGTGCTGCAGATCTCTCCTAACCCACTGCTCCCCGAGCTAGGGGTATCCCCTTCCCATTCCTCACCCTCCTGCCCAGTGCTCCTCATTAAAGCAAACCCCAGAGGGGCCTTGGCCAGGTCAAGGGTCCTGTGAGGAGAGGACTCAGGAGTTTGGGGGCATTTGGGGCTGAAGGGCCCCTGGGGAATGCAGCCCAGACTCCCAGCTCCCCGCACTGCTGGTGTGGTGACTGGTGAGGCCCCCTGCCCTCCACACTGGCATCCCTCCCAGCCTCCTCCTGGGGCTCTGCCAGGGCCTTGCTCAGTCCTCCTGCCAAAGGTGCCTGAGCCTCAGTTTCCCCAGGACTTCCAGCCACTGTCAGACACAGATGTCTGTCCCTCGGTGCTCTCTGACCCTCCTTGCCCCTCACGCCAGCCCAGCGTCCCCAACTCTCCAGGCTTTATCAAGGTGCTAAGGCCCCGGTGGGCAGCTGCCACTCACAGAGGCCTCCTCTGGCCTGGTGCTGCCCTATGTCATTGCAGGTGATGGGCCAGATGGAAGGCACGGGGCTTCGAGCCCTTCTCAGGCCTGGCGACCTGAAGCAGGAAACATTCCAGTCACTCAGGCCCTCCTCTGAGCCATGCTGCCTAGAAAGGCACTGCGGGAGGCCGAGGCAAAGAGGGGACAGCAGGCCTCTGTCTCTTCTCCCTCTCCCAGGGTGGGCGGCCTGGCGGCCCCCTGGCCTTCCTCTCTCCCACTCCAGGTGGCCTGACCTCCTCCCCTGCGAGGGGCAGTCGCCACCCATTGGTGCTTCTGCAGACTCCGGGGCAGAGGGCCCTGGGGGTGGTCTCTGGTGCTCACAGCCACGGGAGCCGTGGCCACGTGGCCGGGTCATTGGAGCAGGGCCTGAGCCAGTGCCAGGAAGACTGGTGCTATGACCACCCCGGCCTGCCCGAGCCCCTGCCCTGCTTGTCCAGTGTGATTAAAGGATGCTGTGTCCTCTTGGCGATCCAGACTGGTTCTTTCTGCTTGGGTCCCTTTGCCTACCCAGGGAAGGCGGCAGGTCCTGGTCCCTCCGGGGCAGGGATCCAGGGCTCCACTCTGTGTGCTCCCCACCCACAAAGAAACCAGCCCCCTCGGTCACTCACACAGCCTCAGCCCGCTGTGCCTCTCCCTGGCTGACCTCGGGCAAGTCCCCACATCTCTGAGCCTCGGTTTCCTGTCTGCAAAATGGGGATGATGATAATCTACCTCATGCGGTGGCTGTGAGGATTAGTGAGGTTGCCCGGCGAGTACCACGTTTGTCCTCGAACCCGCACCTATTGAGCACCTACTGTGTGGCACGGAGCCTGCAGCTCAGATCACCATCGGTCACCTCCCCTTCAAGAACAGCCATGGATTGGCATTCTGGTAAGGCACTCGGAACTGTCAAGCGAACCGCAGTGCCTCCCCTGGGGACTCTGTCTCGTGTGCTGTGTCTCACATCTACGGGAACTGTCGATGCTGTCTGCAGGAACACACGCCCGGCGTTTTACAGTGGGAGACCTTGACGCTTGGTCTCTCTGGTATGTTGGCGGGTTCTGACTCTCTAAGTCAGCCTCACGAAAACACAGGGGCTGGCTGGAAAGTATCCAGCGATGTAATACGAAATATAGAGACATTTACTGAAGAAGATACAAGGTACGAGAAACGTTGTACATAGGACAGTGACCCCTCAGTCCCCTTCTAAGTAGGCACCTTGGGACCTCACACCGTTCTCCCGGCATCTGTAACCTAACCCGTACGCGCCCAACATGCTCAGGTGTTCTGCTTGTTGCAGGCCTTCCAGAACGTGGATCTCTTTCAACAGATTCCCGACCCTCTTTGAAGCATTTGTGCCACACTTTTATTTGTGCCGTACTCATTGCTTTGTCCCTGAAAGCCTTCTGAATCATCCGAATAGTTTCCGAGGAGGAATGTTCAGGCTTAACACAAAATCTGATGCAGAGCTGTTGCTCTACTTGCTCAGTCATTTAGAATGTGACTGCCACAGCACACACGCTCACCGAACGGCGTCTAGCGCCTGCCGACTAGGACAGTGACGTCATCCGAGTCCGCGCTCCTTGGCCGCCGGGTTACACCGGCGTGTGCAGACCGTTCTTGTGATATTAACAGTGGCTGGATTCTTTCCGGACAGCCCCTCGCATATCTAAAGTAACGTCGCTTCCCCTACTGAGTTGACGGGGTGCCCTTCCCTGCTCCGTGTTGTTCCTGCCCTGTGCCACGGGGCTCTGGGCACCGCGTGGACAAAGCATGCTACAAAGGGGCAGCCATCCACACCCGCCCGGACGCAGCCCACCGCAGGGGTGGACGCGGGTCTCTGTTCCTGGACACCCCCGCCCCCCTGCTGAAGGAAGGCTTCTTTCTCACCACACCTGAGTGCCTGGTGGCTCTCAGCGAAGAGGCCCTTCACGTGGCAGAGGCCACCCACGGGAGTGGCTGCTCTTGGTCCAGGTTCTGTTTGCACAAGATCGGCCTAACCAGCCTCGGGCTTGGGCCTCGGGAGGGAGGCTGGCCGGAGTGCCAGCCAGCAGCCTTTGTCTCGGGCGCCGCACGGACTGCGGTCTACTGACTGCCGAGGCAGCGAAGCTGTGGGAGCTGCTTGCCAAGTACCTGCAGGAGGATTAAAGTTTGTCCTTTGCAAACTGAAGCCAGAACCGCCAGACGTTTCTGGGCGTATGGATTTGGGTGTCCCTTCCGGCGCCCCATCTGACCCGCTGTGAGCACTTCCTCCGTCACGATTCAGGTGCGGCCTGGACTTCCTGGGCCAGATTTTTGCACTGGATCCCAGTTCCTGACTTGGTGGCATAGCCCTGATGGGTGGTGAGAGCCACTGGATCTTTGTGATGGAACTTCTCCCAGCAGGCAAGTTCTTGGTGGGGGTTGGACAAGGACCCCTGGGAAACTGCTGCCAGGTCTGTGGGGCACGGCGTCCCCCAGGAGGTCTGCAATGCTTAGTCCTGGTGACTTCAGCGAGCTGGCCAAATGCCCACGTAGCCACCTCCAGGGTAATCCCTCTCAGTTACGTATTTTGAAAATGACGTTCCCTCCCTGAAATGTTAGGCATCCAAGGAAGGGGACAGATAGGAGGGCCAGGAGGGGAAGCGGCTCTGGGAAATGAAAAATACTCCAGATGGGTCATCAGGGGACCTCACCTCCACTTTGCCATTGCTTTGAGGGATGGCCTGGGCCAAATGCAGAGAATAGTGAAGGCAAAAGAGTGATCGTACGTTGACCTGAGTTAAAATCAGGTCAAGTGGCTGGTATACAGGTGGCTGAGCTTGGCATGTCCCTGGTGACCTGCTGTTTGAATAGGTGGGCTGGCTCCCTTCCGTGGGCTTGGGTAGGGTGTGTCTGGGAGTTCTCAGCCCTCCTGGGCAGAGGATCTGCACAGGAGCTTCTCTGTGACGTGGGGGTGTGGGGAAGGGAGTGGGGAATGCTGGTGGGGGTGATCTTAGAAGGCTTCTTAATGGAGGAGACATTTGAGAAGGGCCTTGAAGGATGGATAGGAGTTTGAAGGGCACATGATATGGGGAAAGGGGGCAATGGGGGAAAGGGTTGGAGGTGGCCAGTGCAGCCTATGCCCTGGGCGGGGAGAGAGACCTGCATGTTAGGTCAATGTTTGGAGAGGAGGCAGAGCGAGCAGGCAGACCACTCTGCCCACGGCCAGGGGGAGCCCAGGCCGTGGAGGGTGAGATGGAGGCAGTGAGGGGCCTGTGCTGTGGTCCGGGGGGGACACGTGGCAGCTGGGAACTGAGTGACTGCTGGATGTCATCCTGGGGGAGAAGGTGTGTCCCTACTGGACTTTGAAGTTGGTGAGAGATTCCATAGCAGAGGGGGGGAGGAGGGCGGCCAGGTTTGAGGTCGGGGACATCCAGCTTGGATAAAGTGTCCACCAGGCTCTGTTGCGCCTACAAGAATTTTCTCTGACAGCAAGAGGTAAGCAGGCCTGGGTGCCAGGAGGCAGCTTCCTGCCCCAGCTCTGCCCGGGAGGGCACCTGCTGGGCTGGAGGACTGGAGGATGCTGGGTGACTCGTTCAGCCTCCTTGGGCCCCCACCTTGTGCATCTGTAACATCAGATTCAAAATCCCTTTTCTCTCGCCCCTCCCAGGCTATAGGGGGTCACTACCTTTTCAGAACCCCAAACCAGGGCCTGTGGGGGAGTGGCAATGGGCAGCCAATGGGAAATCAGTGCCAGCTGTCCCAGGAAATACGAAGTGCACGCTGGAGAAGTTAGAGGGAAGGGAGAGTGCCCGGACTGTGGGGTGCACGGGTCCACGGGCTCCCGGGAGCAGTTCCTGGCTCAGAGCACGCAACGTCATTTTTCCCGTAGTGTGACCTGAGCTTGCCACTTCCTCTCTGTGAGTCTCAGTCTGTTCCGACCGAAGACTGAGTGTGACGATGTGTCTGTGCGCTAGCAGCATCTTGCGCACAGTGCCAGACGGCGCCCGTGAAGGACTGTCACTGAGCATGGCGGGAGGGGAGCCCTGGCAGGGGAGGAGGCCCTGCAGCGCCTGTCCTCTCCCCTCCTCCCCCGCTCGGCAGGCCCGTCGCAGTAGCCCCACATGCCACGCGTGCATCTGGGGGAAAGGGGGAACACAGGCAGGAACTCAACACAGGCAGAAACAGATGTCGAGAACATTGTCGGGGAGGCCAGCGGGCGGCCGCGGGGCCAGAGAGGAAGGAGGGATTTCCAGGACAGGAGTCAGGAGTGCTCAGGGCTAAGCCGTGTGTGTGGCTTCGGAGCAGCTGGCCTCCAATGCCAGGACGACAGGCGGCTGGGGGACAGGACCCGGCCAGGGCTGCAGCACAGGGTCAGGATGGGCGGAGGGGGTCGTGGCAGAGGGGTCCGGACACGTGACGGCAGCAGGTGATCCCCAGCGGGCCAGCGGCAGGTGGGCTGGGGCTCCTGCCGTGGCTGACCTCCGTCTGGGTGACTGCAACCCACCCCTGGGGGACAAGCTGACCCGCAAACTCAGACGGACGCGAAATGGACCGTCTTATTTCTCCGAGTCAGCTTCATTTCCGTGAGGCATTCCCAGCAGCTGAAGTTGGAGAAATGTGATCTGGGCCGGCTGGGATTCCTCCTGCCACGTTTCCCTGCAGCTGCATGTCAGTGCCCCTCCCTGGCAGCGGGAGGAGGGCCCGGGCACTCCCGTGTCCACGTGTCATCTGCAGAATTTGGCAACGTCCCATCTGCTCCTGGCTCCTGGTTCTGCTCTCGTACCTGCTGAATCACGCTCATTCCCGCAGAGCCGCCTGGGTCCTCCTGCCCGGAGGGAGGCCCGGGTCCTGGCTGCACACACGCTGCCCTCACAGGTTCCTCGTCTCTCTGAGGGCTCGGCCTGGATGCGGGCCTGCATGGGGCCACGTCTTCCCTGGGTGTCAGCCACCTTCCTGGGGCTCTGTCCAGGTAGAGGAGAATGGCTCCTCTGAAGCTCAGATGCCCTAAACCTGCTGGGGGGATTCAACCTGGAGAGGAGGGGACAGGATCACAGTAGCCAGGAACCCCAATGCCAACCTCTGCGGCCCCCCAGGGGACATCTTGAGCTTCCCTGAGTGCTAGGGGGAGGGCACAGTGAGTGCCAGCTCAGCCTTCCTCTCCCCAAGCTTGTGGCTGAGCTCCTGGGTTTTGAAATGTAAGGACCTGCAAAAAACTCCCTTTCCTCCTCTGCTTTTTGCTCTGTGTTTGCTAGGGTGCTTCTGGCTGCAGGATACACATATTCAACACAAAGCAAAACAAGCAAACACACAACCAAAGTAAGTCCCAGGTAGGGCGGCTCCTGGGCATGCTAATCCAGCCAGGTGTGTCCCACAGTATTTCCACTCTGCGCGCTTAGTGCAACAGCTTTGTCCCTAAGGCCAGCTGCCCTTGGGGCCTCAGCATGGCAGCCACAGGAAGGTGGCTACATGGTTGCCATTCCTGTTCCAGGTGTCCCATCCAGGTATGACAAGGGACAATGAAAGAGA